TTGGCATTCCATAAGAGGAATTTCTGGTTCTATTCCCATCGAAACCGGGGGGTCTAGTTAATGGGGTGGCAAAATGGGATTGTGTCCCTGATGGTGGAACGAATCCCCCAGGGTAGCCAATAGTTCCAGTATTTCCTAAGATCGAACTATTAGTTGATATGCCACTTACTCTATTGGTGGCTATGTTACTGGTCGAAGATGCAACAGACTGTGCATTCGAAGGGATTACATTAGATGTTCCGATCGAAGTGGACGCGTTAGTGCCTGTTGCATGTGGGCCACTTTGGTCCCCTTGTTGATTGTCTGAATTAGACATTTTATCCAAACGTTTTCTTCTGGATAAAGGTTGGTTGCTGTTGGTTATCTTACCACTTCTCAGGTTCATAAAACAGCAAACTTCTTAGGTTCCAACGTTTTTTGTAATGGTTATGTCTCAACAATCCTTAATTCTGATATCCAATTATTGGTCCCACCGGGTGTGCCAATTTGTTTCTAGTGATTTCTGGTAAACAACCGCTAGTCTTCCAAACTATCGAATAATCGTTCTGACTGTTATTCAATTCCTCTGGTAACTCACAGGATCGACTAGATTGATCCTAGAACTCCTTGGATATTAAGGTTACTCTCACAATCGAACAGATATTCATGGTTGATATTGTATACGTGTTTGGCTTATTTCGATCTCTCTCTAAAAGTCTAAAGATGTAATCAAAATGTGTGTGAAAACTAAGTTACACGAATAAATGCTAATTGTAATGCTAATTGTAAAGACATGTAAAACTGCATAAAAGTGAAGTAAATGGTTTCGACTTACGAAACAGTTAATATAAAGGATTTCTGGAGCGTAAAAGTTTAAAATGTGAAGAAAGCTTTTAATGCAAGAAATCTGTAAATGATTTTAAGTAAACATATGCGTTCGAAGGATAAGACTTGAAGGTAAAGGTATGGAAAATATGACAGTTTTCTGAAATATAAAGTGCTCGAAATATAAAGAAAACATTAAAATGCAAAACTTTGAAGAAGAGATTTCGAAGTGAAAAGACTGTAAATAAGAAAACTTGTAAATGTTGTTTGACAAAAGGAATAAAGGAAAGTACTGGAAATGGTAAAAGATTTTCATTAAATCAGAAATACATGGTGCTATCATACATACATTTCTCTTGCATTCGTTTCCCTTGCCATGTGGTAGTTTGAATGTTACTGAGTATTTTGTATAATAGATATGACACCCGAAATCCTAATACTAAGACTTCTATTTATACTAATTCGACCATAACGGTCTTGCTATAGGATTATGCCACGTTTCGAACATGCAGGAAAATGCTTCTTTCATCTTTCCACGTGTCCCCAAATGCTCCAACACGTAACTTTCAAACTTTGAAAGTCTCGCTTCCATTTGAATTTTAAATGCTTTGGTGTTCCTCCGTTTCGAACGCTCTTCCCAGACACAACCTCGCTGTTGTTTCGAGACTCCTTTAGATATGTTCCCATAATTGCCACTCGAAGCTCCAAGCTTTGACACACTTTATTCGAAACACTGCTTCTGCTACTTCGAAATATGACGTTTAATTCCATTTCGATCAAAAACGTTTAATTCATTTGGCTTCTAAATAACATTATCAAAATCTTCAGCCAACACCCATACCGAAACGCATTTGGGAAGATATTTCTATGGATTTCATCACCGGCCTGCCAAAATCCAAAGGGTATGAAGCTATTTTTGTAGTTGTGGACAGGTTGTCTAAATATTGTCACTTTATTCCTCTTAAGCATCCATATACGGCTAGAAGTTTGGCTGAGATTTTTAGCAAAGAAGTAGTCTGGTTGCATGGGATACCTACGTCTATAGTGAGTGATAGAGATCCCATCTTCATGAGCAATTTTTGGAGGGAATTGTTTAAGGCCCAGGGAACTCAACTCAAGATGAGCTCGGCCTATCACCCAGAGTCCGATGGCCAGACAGAAGTAGTTAACCGGTGTTTAGAGACGTACCTTAGATGCTTCATCTTTGATCAGCCCAAGAATTGGATGTCATGGTTACATTGGGCTGAATATTGGTTCAATACTTCATTTCATACTACTACAGAGCACACCCCTTTTGAACTAGTCTATGGTAGACTTCCTCCTGTGATGGGTAGATGGGTTCAAGGAGAGACAAGGGTTGAGGCAGTACAGAGAGATTTAGTAGAAAGGGATGAGGCAATCAGACAGTTGAGAAGTCATTTACACCGAACACAAGATAGGATGAAGGCTCAGACTGATAAGAAGAGAAGCGATAGGAGTTTCGAAGTAGGAGAGTGGGTCTTCGTTAAGTTGAGAGCACACAGGCAAAATTCTGTGGTAACCCGAATTAATGCTAAACTTGCTGCTAGATACTATGGACCTTACCCTATTACAAAGAGAATTGGAGTTGTCGCCTACAAATTGAAACTGCCAACAAGTTCTAGAGTTCATCCGGTGTTTCACGTATCATTGTTGAAAAAAGCTGTGGGACAGTACCATGAGAATGAAGAGCTGTCAGACCTTATGGCAGGAGAGCAGGGAGAGGTGTTTGAACCGGAAACTGTGCTGGCTGTGAGGAAGGTACAGGAGCAAGGTGAAGAGGTGAAACAATTGCTTATCCATTGGAAGGGGAGGACATTAGAGGAAGCCACTTGGGAAGACTATGTCATGCTAAAAAGTCAATTTCCACAATTCAACCTTGAGGACAAGGTTGCAGTTGAAGAAAGGAGTATTGATAGAAACAATGACAATAATTTACAGTTACCAGAACAATTAATTCACCACACCTCTAGTGGTCCCAGAGTTTGGAAAGTATATTCTAGAAGGGGTAAAAAGGGGAATTAGAGGATGAGTTAGTTACCAATCATGAGGTGGCATGAAGGAGGGGGCAGTACATTTCCACAATATAAGGAGCAGTCAGTAGAGGGAATAATCATCTGGATTGTAGCTAGATCTAGAAGGAATGGATAGGATACTCTAGGATCCTATAGGAGCATAGCTCTGGGCCCATTGTGGGATTGATTCATTCTGCTCTCTGTACTTGTTTCCATACTAATCAATAAAGCCCTTTCTTCCCATATTTCCATAACTGTTTCCTTTACTGCTATATTGATTTACTATTCTATTAGTTCGTAACACTAATCCATGATAGTAAACACATACACACGGCGTAAACACACAGAGAAACCTTCTCAGTTCTGACGCTCTTTCTATTTTTCCTTATTAGAATATAATGTTACTTATCTGAAGTTAAAAAAATGTGTTAAAATAACCTTTCTTTACTATTAACATGACAACAACTACATAGCCTATACAAAATATAGTTAGTGAACTTACAATACAAGTCTTCTCTTCTAGAATCCATGAATTATTAATAATGTTAGTTTATAGTAGTAAATTAAGCTTCAATCACTAAATGGATTCCAACTTGACAAATAGATACATACGGTTCAAAAAGTCATAGTATATTTTCTTAATATTTTTCATTTTCTTTAGTCCTTTTCTATCTTACACCAATGATTGGTCTTTTTATCTATCTTACACCAATCCTTTTCTACATGGTCTAATTTACATTTGTTGGGCTCGACAGTTTGGATGTTGTCCTCCTGTTAGTGCATCGCAGGACAATTTGGTATAGATAGATATTTCGAAATGGGAGGGGGTAACTTAAGCTAGCTTGAATCAGTTGAATTAAAGATTAAAAGAAGTTGGAAGCAGTAGAGGTGCTGAGATATGGTGGCACGGCTGAAGGCTTGTGATAGTAGTAACTAACAGAGAGCTGAACCTTTTGGCGATGCAGGCTCATTTTCTATGATTGTGAAGCAATTGGAGAGGTTTGGAGATAGCAACCATTTTTAACAAAAATGCAGCTATGTGTTTTACTGTATCAGTTTATAGTAGGGCTCTTGGCAAATCTTGTACTAAATACAGGTGAAACTATGGAGGTTCAAATCAACTGCAACCCAAAGTACTAATTTTGGTTGACCCAGGTAACTTAGATAATAAATTATTTGAGAATTTACAATAATTTCTCGATAGATAAACAAACTTTTCCTGGTGGCCCGTGACAGGCCAACTATTAACTGTTAAAATAGATTTATGATAAAAGCAAAGCTAAAATTGTAACAATTGACATATGTTTTGTCTTCAAAACTCATGTATCACTCTAAAGAAGAACCTAGTCTTTGTTATGAAAATTGCCTAGCAAGTTCACTCTCATTCACTCACTAGTAGTACTTAATAGATTTCAAGAACAAAGCTAAATGTAATAAAATATTGGTTACACTTTCTATCAGGTTATATTTATCAAGAGTTTTGTTAACACTGTAAATCCTATTTATCTAGATCCTCCACAATTTAACAAGTCATGAAATTGCTCATAAAATATTCTGTCTTAAGCATTTAAAGTTATAAAGACTTTTCGGTTATCATCAATCTTCTCGTGAAACAGATTTGACTGAAGAAACCTTCTCAACTCTCCGACGAGAAATCGTCAACTCTCCTTACAAGAAGTGAAAATTATACCAAATATTACTACATAACTTGAGGAATGAAGGTGTTGTCGTTACTATATCACTTGAGGAATAGATGTATTGTTGTTACTATATTAAGCAAAACCAAGAGGCACAAAGCATCATAGAAGAATCCTACTTCTCTATACATCTGAGAGGAAAAGAACGGGTAATCCTTTGAAGAATTAAGTTCAATGGAAGAGACAAAATTCTAGAAGTGTAGGATTGATTTTGGATTGATTTAGAGGTGTTTGCCTCTCCTAAAGTAGAATGATTTTGCCTCCATTATTGATTCTAGTTGAAGCTAGAATTTACAGCTTTTGAGTTAAAACGTAATTTTTACGTTGAAATTTACTGTTCAACTCGGTTTTGCATAAAGTTATACAAACATATATCACTTTACTTTTAACCAGAATCATTTTTACATAATCAATTCACTCAAAATCAAAAAAAAAAAAAAAATTCACCACAGTACCAAACATACAGTTAACCAACTATCAAGCTAGCCACCAACACCACTTCAACGCCCCTGGTCTCTATCATACTAGCTTCCACAATATAACTAACCACTTAATTTTCATAATTAGATCACATAAGTACTAATAGATAACAACACAATCAACAATCACGTTACCATATAATTTTCACAAGACTCATCTAAAACACAAATAATGCAAATTCAAAATCTATCAAGCCCAATCTCAATGAGAATTACACATAAGAACAAAATCAAGTGGTGTTCATTACATATTCAAGAGTTGAACAGAAACTACACCCAACATAGACGATTCGCGTGGAATCAAACACAAACACACACTATACGTGTTAGTATTGTGATTGTGTATACAAAGGACGCCTATATTCATCAAAATACAGATCACGATCAACAAAGATAATCGCATATAGAGCATAGATTATACCAGGAATATAACCTAGAATCGTAAGGAGCAAGCAAATGATGAATTCAACCTGCAAATTTAAAAAAAAAAAAAAAATCAAAATCAAAATCTTCGATCTATCAAACTCATAATCGAATTGCAATAACAAATCACAATAAACTAATTACAGTATCACAAATTTCAGATTGATGATTTTATTCATCGCGTTTCGATTCATAACTAAAAAAGTGAGGAAAAGAAGTAAAAGGAGAGATCTGAACGGAAGTGATGGAGAGAGTACGTACAGTGCAACAACCATGGCGGAGACAAACGCCGAGTGGAGGGATCAAGACGGCGATCATAATCTCGCAGCAAATTTCACAGCGTGAAGGCATTTTTCAGATGAACTCTATTGCTTCTTCTTCTTGATTATCCTAAAATCCTAATTGAACGAGTGATGATGATAACTAAGTCTAAGAAGTTAGGCATTTTAAAATACTTCTATAAATAAATATTTAAAATTTGTCTTCGTATAGAAAAAATGAATTTTTGTCTTTTTCTCTATCGTGACTCATTACTTCAGAGATTAAATTAAACGAAATTTTGTACCAAAATCAAAAATAAACAATTAATTATAATTCATTTTGTGTTTTAAACAATGAATTAAAAGGTACTGCAGAAAGTTCATCGTTTAGCCATTCAATGATTAATTGTAAAATAATTTTAAAATGTTCATCCAATAAAAATTAATTATTTAATTATATAATTCATTTAAAAATAACATTATAAATTGGTATTTAAAAGGTTGTGATTGATTAATAGTGTATATATAAGTATATATTCTTTATTTTTAATTATGCTGAGAAAAATAATTATGTTTTTCATTAATGAGTTCTTTAATGAAAAAGTTAAATATAAAATTGATTTTTTTATTATCATTAAAATATAGTTATTTTTCATTTTATTATTTTCCTTACTTTTAACCTTTCCTTTTATTAGTTTTAGTGATTGTAATTTTATTGGTTACATATTACTCTTTCTATTTTAAAATGAGTGTCGTTTAAAGTTTTTGTACACAGATTAAAGAATGCAATTATATTGTTATGAGATATTACACTTTTATTAAATTAACTTTATTAATTTATTGGAAGTAGTGTGTAGAGTAATAATTATATGATACAATCGGAAAAAATAACTAACATTACTATATTGAAAAATCAGAATGACATTCATTTTTAAATTTTTTTTCTCTCTTTAAAACGACACCCATTTTGAAACGGATAGAGTATTAACCAATGTATTGTTGTATTCTATTAAGTCACTATTATGACTCATTCCAATAACGGATATTTTTTCTGTTTTTTTCTTCCTTGAAAGTTTGTTAATATGGTATCAGATTTAATGCTCTAATATTTTTTCCAACTTTTTGCTTTCTTGTGTGTTTCTTTATAGATTCATCATCTTTCTCATTCTTTCTGGATCTTATCCTCTCACCTTCTACCTGTCTCTTTGTGGTTGTTGTTTTTTTCAAAAAAAATTCCATTCATTCACTACGCGTCTTTTTCTCTCTGGCTCTTCAAATGATCTTATTTCTTAGCCTTATCTACATTCAGATTTTTCTTTCCACCTTTTTTTGTTTCGCATTCTTCCTCCGTCTTCCTTCACTCTGTTTCCATGGCGGACGACGATTCCGATGAATCCATCAACGCTACACCAAAATCCCCACAAAGAAAATCTCCAGCCAACAATGACCTCAACAATCACTCATATCAAACTGACATGCTTGATCCCTTCTACATGCATCCAAGCGATAATCCCAATATTGCACTCGTTTCACCACCACTGAACAACAAAAATTTTCATTCTTGGTCACGTTCTGTTAAAGTTGCCATTCGATCCAAGAACAAGTTAAGTTTTCTTGATGGAACTTTACATCGTCCTCCTACCACTGACCGTAAGGTGCTTGCTTGGGATAGTTATAACACAACGGTAATGGTATGGCTCACCAACTCTATCGAACCAGAAATTGCAGAAAGCGATCTTTGGATGGACACCGCATATTAAATCTGGGAAGAATTGCAAGACCGCTACCACCAAGGTGATATTTTCATAGTCACTCACCTTCAAGAAGATATCTTCACACTCAAACAAGGTGACTCAAACATTACTCAATAATTCACATCCCTGAAAAAGCTATGGCGGGAAGTTGATAACTTTCTCCCTTTACCCACTTGTACTTGCCCTGTCAAATGCTCTTGCACGCTTTCACAGTCCATCAAAGAATATCGTGAAAATGATTATTGTGATACGGTGGGAGAACTGACTTGGGTGTTTTGTATTTTATCGTAAATGTTGCGGTTAGCAAGAGTCGCCACCGACTTTTCTTTTATTCAAAAGGAAAGGTGAAAAAGCACAGGAAAGACCTTTGAGATTATTTCTTGAGTTCGGGGGGTAGATTATGAAAAGGGAAGGTATTAGCATCCTTTTCATCCATGGTTTTCCATGGGCTCTTAGTTACTTTCTAGATCACTTGCTTGTGTTTGAAATTGTGCTTTGTGTGATTTTGAAAGTATTTTGTAAAGAGGCCATTGTTTAGGAAATCTTTATAATGATTCTAGTTCGTAAGAATGTATACAAAGATGTTTCATCTTTTAAAAATGTTTTCAAGTTTGTAAGATGTTTTGAAAGTTTAGGTGTTTGTTTTGAAAATAACAAGGATGTTTGTTTTAAAATGGAGCAAGTAATTAGGAGCATTCTACCTACTCAAAAGTCTTTTCTTGTTCATTTTCTTTTTCCTTTGACATTGTTATTGTTGTACCCCAAATTTTGACCTAAGATACCATCTCCCATCTGCATCATTGCATTGCAAGGGTTTTGACATATTTTTATCAGTTTTCAAAGCAGATTTCAAAATTCTTAACTTCTTCAAATTGTGATATTTTTTTGAGCGGTTGTTTTTGCACATGATTTTTCTCTGACATCATCTACAACTTTTCTTTACAAGTCAAGGGCAAATTATGCATTGAGAAGCCACGAAAATTGTTAACGTTAGAAGTCGTTTCAGGAATTTGATTCTTAATTTGGACTATGTTTTGTCCGACCATACATTTTACATCATCTTTCTTTTATTCTTATTTCCATAAAAAAAGAAAATCCTAAAAAAATATTTAGTTCATGCTATTTTCATTTTTATTTATGTTTTTATTCAAAATATTCAAAAAAAATTAGTTTCCTTAAGTTTCATTTAGTTTTTGTTCTTGTATCATTTAAGCCAAAATTATAATCTTTTAGATTTAATTTAGTAAAAAAATCTCAAAAATATGTGTTATCATTATTTTATTTTTAGCATTTCACTTTAATTCAAAAATCATAAAATATATAGTTAATATCTTTTCCTTTTATTCTTTTAGTTATTATAATTTTTGCTTCTTTCTTTCAATATTAGTCTTGATTTGATTCTAATTTTTAATTCAATTTTTAAGTTGGGTTATTGTTAAAATTAAAATTAATTATAATTTCTTTTTATTGTTCTTTGCAAATTTTAGTTTAATCCTTTTCCTTTTATTATTATTATTATTATTATTATTATTATTATTATTATTATTATTATTATTATTATTATTATTATTATTATTATTATTATTAATATTATTGTGTTTCAATAGTTTTTGTTGTTTTGTCATAATAAGAAATCAGTTTGGGACCATTCTCTTCATGCTACAATATATCCATGTTATGCTGCTGTCAACTAGTCATGCTGCTGCCCTGTACTAAAACATGCTACCAACCTGTCATAACAGTCCAAAAAAACGGTAATGTAATATAATGTTTATTCAAAAAACAACTTGTTCCTCCCAAAAAAAAACCAGTTTGTCCCATTATAAAGGAGAATACATTGCATCAGAAAAACAACACAGGAAAATTATCCAAACATTTAGCAACAGACCATAAAACCCCAAAAAAAGGTTCCATTGACCTACAATCACAATATACAGAAACCACTCTATAAACTCACGAATGCGTGATATTTCCAAAGGAGGCAACACTACTGTAAAAAATCCTCAGAACTTCCTCAAAGCCACAAACCCATCATCTGATACAATAAAAGTCACCAAGAAAAGACCCCTCTAAAACACCACTGCTTCCTCAAACACAATCTCTAAACTTTAATCTATATTCATACTCCCCACAGCCCTTAAGAAGTTACTTTTCACCACCACAAATCTTCCTCATTTGCACAACAATCACCATCTCCAGTTATCTCCAGCCTTAACTGAAAAAAAAAAACCGACATCAACGGGAAATATTGACTTTGAATCCAACAACAACCGTTCACATAGAATCAACATCAATTGCAGCAATCTACAACTCACTTGCAACTATTCAATATTCCAACCAGTTTTTTAGACGAAGAAGAAGAGAAGAATTAGTAGCAGAAAGCAAAGAGCGAGAAATCTTCGGAGCTTACCTGACTTCGCCGGAATTGTACCGTCGGACTAGCTCCGACCATGTGAGTTTCTTCAGTTTTTCGCATAAATCTTTATACCGTTGTGTTGCCTTTGTCTCACTGGATAATAATCCTCTCTTAATTTCTTGAAATCATGTAAAATGGCCATTTAAAATCATTGCGGGTCCTGCTGAAAAGCCAATGATTGTTGTTAACTACAAGGATGAAGATAAGCAATTTGCTGCTGAAGAGATCTTTTCAACGGTTCAGATGAAGATGCGTGAGATTACTGAAGCTTACCTTGACTCTGCAATTAAGAATGTTGTTGTTACTGTCCCTGCTTACTTTAGTGATTCTTAACGTCAAGCTCCCAAGGATGCTGGAGTGATTGCTGGTCTTAATGTCATTGCGAATCATCAATGAGCCCACAGCAACACATCAAATCCCTATTTAACACCGGCAATAACTCGATCGATAAATTTCAATTCAATAAATGTTGCAAGACCGATACACAATCATATAAGCACGCCGTTAATTTAAAATCAGCTTGTAAATAATATAGAAAATTCACAAACCTTTTTCAATTACCCATTCGGACTTCATGGTTCATCACTATCATCTTCATTCAATTCTTCTGCCACTCTCAAATCCGCAACGCCAAACCAAAGCAGCTTCTCAATTTCTTCACCAACGCCACCATCCCTAACTCCCATAGTTATCTCCATGGTACAACATCCTTATCTCCCTCATATTTATGCCGAATCACCATCATTATCTCCTTCTGTAATCACACCCTTTAACCTTCAACATCATTACAGATTTAAATCCAAAACAAAAAACCATTATTTCACACAAAAACATACCATTCAAATCTGAAAATTTGAAGAAGAAAAGAAGCAAAGTACCTTCAACCTTCATCACCGAAACATCACCTTCACTGTACGCTAA